CGGGGGGGGCTGCCCAGGGTGGGGGTGCTGTCCAGGGTGGGGGTGCTGTCCAGGGCTGAGGAGTCAGACACAGAGGGACACGGGCAGAGGGCAGGGAAACACCTGCCCCTGCTGTTTTCCGAGGAAACACCAACTCCAGCAGCTCAGTGACATCCTTCCGTGTGAGCGAGTATATTTATTTATTAAAGCATTGTTGTTTAAAAATAACAGCCAGCAGTCCCTGCAGCATAAACACTGCCAGGCCAGCCTCCCTCAGGAAGCTGCCCCCTAACAAGGGCTCCCACTCCCAAATCCAGAACTTCCCTTGTGCTTGCTAGAGAGAGGGGCCTAATGCTCCTGATGCCACAACAGCAGCCCAAGTGCTACAGGGAATGTCCAGGGCTCGGGCAGCAGATCTGTCAGGGGCAGCAGCACCACTGGCTCTGGCAGCTGCTGCCACAGGGCCCACAGCCCCCCTCTCCCCCAGCCCCCCTACAGCCCCCTGCATTTCCCCACAGCCCCAGGCTGGCTCAGCCTGTTCCTGGCAGCAGGTCCCATGGGTGGCCTGGAAAAGGACAGACAACTGTCCCTGCTGCACAACCAGCCCAGCCACTGCCAGGGTGTGCTGCTGGCCCACAGCAACCACACCAAGTGCTCACATGGCAGCCCAGGACCACAGCCCAGTGCTTTCCCATAAATCAACCCAGCACAAGGAATGCCTTCCATGGGCAGAAAGGCCTCTGGGTCAGACCAGACCTGTCCATCTGGTCTGGCTGCCTCCAACACCAGCCCCTATCAGAGGCTTCAAAGGGCTCATTCCTCACTGAGGAGCATCTCAAATAACCTCCCTGCAGGGACCCATTCTTCCAAGCCTCCATCTGTTGGTGTCCTTAATAAACATGTGTCATCGCTGCACACTTTTACTGTCTGGCCTCTGACAAAGAAGATCTTTTAATCCTTAATGTTTCCAGACTCTCCCAAAGATACCAGCAAGAGCAAAGGTGTAGCTGGTTCCCATCACAGGGCAGGGGCAGCTCAGGTGTTCACACCTGGCCAGAGCTCAGTGTTTCCCTCCACATCACCAGGGTCCAGGGACAAGGAGCCCTGCAAACCTCCCTGCTGCCACGCAGAGGACACAGAGCAAGAAGAGACTCTGTGACACTTACCAAAACTCAACCAAAAACCAAGAGGCTGAAGCAAAAAGCAGAAAACCTCAACATCCTGTCGCCCACGTCTGCTGCGAGCAGAAGTGAGCAGGCTGCTTCCCACCCTCTGGCGCCGCAGAGCTGATGCTGCAGATGGATTTTACATAAGGAGACATTCATCTGCAGCATGACCCTCCTCCCTCCCCACCTCCTGGCAGCCCCTGCCCGAATCCCCACCGACCCGGAGGAGCAGGCAGAGCGGCAGCCTCGCTGCTGGGCTCTGCCAGGGACCCCCCGGAGGACACAGAAACGTGATGGATGCTGGAGCAGCCGCCGGGGGTGGCGGCAGCGGGAGGGAACTGCCGCTGCAGAGGGGAGGGAGCTGCAGCAGGCAAAGAGCAACGCACAGCCTGGCTTCTACAGCCCCCCGGCTTGGGGGATGAGGGAACTGGGGCACACGAGCAGAGGAAATCAGCAGCATCCTTCCATTGTGAAGCTGCACATTGTGTACAGCTGCACACACGCTGTACGCCCAGCAAGGACCTCCCCCCACTCCCACCCCCTGACCAGAGGAAGGAGAGGATGGAATCAGCACGAATAAACTGCCAGCACCAGCGTGGGCTGCGAAGCTCCTGACCTGCAGGGCCCTGGGGCAGGCAGCTACCAGAGCAGCATAAGAGCAGAGCCTGCTTCCACTTCCTTTTTACCATGAGCAATTAAGAAAAAGCCTCGAGGGGCATTTTCCAGCTTGGCACTCAACCCAGCTTGGCAGCAACGTGCTGCAAATCAAACGCTAAGGAGATAACCTGACTTTGTCGGTCACACCGGTGGCTCTGCCTGCCAAACACTGCTTGGCACAGTCAGCAGACACATTTCTGCAGAGCAGAGAGGATGCTGACCTGCTCAGAAAAGACCTGCCAGCAGTTTCCATCCACACAGTGAGCTGCAGACTGCACACGCTGTCCTCTGCCCTGCTGCCACCTCCCTGACAGTGCTGCCACCTCCCTGACAGTGCTGCCACCTCCCGCCCTGGCCCAGGACTGTGCTGTGCCAAGCCCTGCACAAACACAGCAGCTCAGGGACAGGCAGGGTGTGTAGGGTGTACATCCCATCGATGTCTGGCAGCACTGGCCTAGAGAGCACCCATGGCTCACACCCTGCTTTGGCTTTGTGGGAAAGGGGCAAAACAGCAGCACTTCAGAGCAAAGAGGTGGAGCCCCAAAGGCTTTGGAGCTGGAAGAGCCCTGATGTCACAGTGGCTGCAAAAAAGATGCAAAACCTTGGTCATACTTCTGAGCCTCGCCTTGCAGGAAGTCAGCTGCAGCTGATCACAGTTAAGATAACACTATATTACAATAGTATATTAATTATAATTAATAATTCACTTGTATCCTTAATAATATATTATACTATTATACATTTAATTACCCATATAACAATAATATAACATCAGATAACAGCTCTGCCTCCAGCCAGATGTCCCCTTATGTTACACTTCATAACACCCTGAGGCTTGTGCAGCCTGGTCTAGCATGAGGTGTCCCTGCTCCTGGCAGAGAGGTTGGAATCTGAGGATCTTTAAGGTCCCTTCCAACCTTCACCATTCTAAGATTCTATGCTACACTGGGATGAACCTCCTCCTGACAGGCTGGCAGCAGTGTCCCTACCTGGCACCCAATCCCAGACACACGGGGTGCTCCATCCCTTGGCTGTCACCACCCCTCAGTCCCCGGGAGGGTGCGGGAGCCACACGCTGCAGAACAGGTTCC